CAAATGCTTCTTAATTTACTACGCAAGGTAATTCCAGACGGAGAGAATAGCATACCAGAAAAGTGTTATGATGCAAATAAGATTGTTGGTGCTCTGGGTTTAGATTACAATAAGATCGATGCTTGTCCCAATGATTGTGTCCTTTATTATAAGGATAACGAGAAACTTGAGGAATGTCCAAAGTGTGGAGTGTCTCGATGGAGAAAGAATGCACGTACTTCAACACGAAAGTCAGATGAGTCAGTGAATCAACAGAAGAAAATTCCAGCGAAGGTGCTTCGACATTTTCCCTTAGTGCCTCGGTTACAACGACTGTATATGACAAAAAATATAGCAAAAGATATGCGGTGGCATAAGGAAAGACGTGTAGATGATGGTAAAGTGAGACATCCAACAGATGCAAAGGAATGGAAGCATGTGGATCAGACTTTTCCCTCATTTTCCACAGAGTGCAGGAATGTCAGACTTGGGCTATCTAGCGACGGATTCAACCCGTTTGGCATTATGAGTTCGGGATGGTCTACTTGGCCAGTTGTGTTAATGCCCTATAATTTACCACCTGGACTTTGTATGAAGCAATCATATATGATTCTTTCATTATTGATACCAGGCAAACATTCACCCGGTAATGACATAGATGTGTTCATGGAGCCGTTAATTGATGAATTAAAATGTCTCTGGGATGAAGGAGCGTGCCATAAAACAGAGACTAGATAAAGCTATGTCAGATCTAATGAGGGAAAAAGGTAATAATTTCGTTTAAACTTTGGATAATTCATACTTATTTGCTTACTTAAGTGTATAAGAAATTTATTTCTATTTGACTTTGTAGGCCAAAAAGATTATGAGAAACCTGGTAAGCATGGGAGTGAGGAAAAGACAAAAGTACCTCCGAAAGGGTACCGGGGCATTTTGGAGTGGAAGGACAACATTCCTGTTGGGGATTGGGCTGTCAGATTTAATAACTTGATTGGCTGTTTAATAAGAGATCCACGCTCCATTAATATTTCTCATAATTTTGAGGAGCAAGAATTTAAATGCATAAAAAAGATTTGGGAGAAGCTCATGGTAATTATTTAATATACTGCTGCTTATTTTGTTTACAATTCACAATGATTATTCTTATAGTGTAATTTTTTGGCCATGTAACTTGCAGGATCATTATTGTCTTGAAGACAACCTAGAGTCTTGGGATTATGTTATCCCGAAAATGGCCAAGCTTATTCAGGGTTGGAAGAGTGATCTAAAGAAAAGATATTTCACAAATTTATCTACTAGTGATCTAAAGAAAAGATATTTCACAAATTTATCTACTGATTGGAAGAGGATCTATGAGCTTGATAAGAGAGTTCCTCCATTTAATTGGATGACTCTTATTATCGAGTGGGAGGGTGAGAAGAAGGTAGATTATTTTTAATTTATGACATTATCATCACGTTATTTTTTATTTATATATTACCATCGCACATACTAAAAAAATATTTTATTTTGTAGAAAATATGTGAGACGGCATCGGCGAATCGTAGATCAAAGCTATACGATCACTTTTTAGGAGCTACTTCTTATGCTCAGATCGAGCATAAGTATTTAAGCGAAAACCCGGTATGATCATATTATTAAAACTAATTTCATGTGATTAGTTTCCTACATTTAAATTAGAATTTAATATATCACAGGACGCTTTGACTATGCCCCCGACTCTTATGGCTAAAAGAGCTTATACACCACCCCAGGGCTATGAAAATGTAGAGGGAAATGACAAAAAGGTGGAGAAAATTAATGAATTGAACGTAAGTATAAGATTAATTTTAGATTTGTATATACTTAATGATTTTTCATCAAAGTTTCTAATTTTTATGATATATGATATGCAGGCGGCGCTGGAAGCTTCTCAAAACGATGTCTTCACCCGTGTCACGCAGTCTCGAAGTACAGAGGACACTCCTGTAGAGCCTAACCGCATGACCAGAGACGAGTGAATGGAAGTTGTCGACGGAGCTTACGGTTTACACTCAAGAAAGAAAGGAAGAGTGCCTCTGTCAAGTACTAGAGTTAAGACACTCACCACCACCAATAAGCCTAGCAGCCAATCTGTGACATCGACGCGACACGGTGACACGTCATATGTCGTGGGTAAGATTGGAAAATACTTGATGAAGAATGTTGAAATTCCATTGGCTTTAAGTTTTCTTCCCACTATTAAGCACGAGTTAAGTGGTGCACAAACGACTTGGGATGTCGTTCAGCGACTCATCGATTCTCAACCCGTAAAGGACTTGCTTCCGCAGTCTATATACGCGGATATTATGGTGTTGGCATTTGATGAGCATGCAGCTGCAAGTGGTGGAGAGGTATATATGTCATATTATATATATGTATTTATTATGAGTATTTTGGAATATATTCTCATATTGATTTACATTCTTTTTAGGTTAGAGGAGGTACCGCCGTAGGAAGCAGCAGTACGGTACGACATCCTGATGCAGCCGCCACCGATGATAGGGATCACGATGATAGGGACCACGACTATGATGAGTAAGTGATGAGTTAGACTTTTTGGTAACTTTTGTGGACTTTTGGATTGTGTTAAACATATTATGACCTCCTGATTATGTGAACTTTTGGATTGTGTTGAACATATTATGACCTCCTGATTATGTGATCTTTTGGATTGTGTTGAACATATTATGACCTCCTGATTATGTATATATGTGAATTGTTAAATGTTAATATTGTTGGATGTGAATCGATGAATGTAAATGTTAGTATTGTTGGATGTGAATGTGAATATTGTTGAATGTGAATCGGTGAACGTGAATATTGTTGGATGCGAATCGATAAATGTGATATTGTGAGTATTGTTTAATATATTGTGAATAATGGTAGTAACAGGTACGCATTCCCGATTGGGGGGCTTTGCAATGCAGAAATAATTTTTTTTACCTGATTTGCCTATCACCAATGTACATTGGCGACGGGTATGAGCTCGTCGCCAATGTACATTGGCGACAGGTGTATTCCCGTCGCCAATGTACGTTGGCGACGGGCTATAGCCCGTCGCCAATGTTTTCCGTCGCCAATACCTATCCGTCGCCAATGAACATTGGTGACGGATTTTCCTGTCGCCAATGTTTATTGGCGACAGGATTATTGGTGACGGAGAATATCCGTCGCGAAAGTGTATTGGTGACGGATTTTGCTGCATTGGCGACGGATTTCCCCGTCGTCAATGCTCATTTTTCTACTAGTGTAAAGAGACAATGGAAAATATGTGTTAGAAATATTCAAACATCATGATTTTTATTTTATAGATGTTTTAAGGCATTTAGATCATGATGAATGGCGTGGATCGTCCATTGAAATAGCTCAATCCATACATTGAGACATGCGTCCTTAGTTCAATCTCGGGTGGCTCCTTAGAATCATATTTCCCTATATATATGCGCGTGCGCGCGTGTATATGTATATATATTTAAATAGTATAGTTCATTTTTATTCACCATGTGCTGAGCTCGACAATTTTTTCCAGACACAATCTGATAGAGAGAAAGAAGACTATTGATCATGTCGAAAAGCTACTCCCTGTGATTAGCAGGAGTCAAAAAAACAAAAAGAAATCGATGACCAGGAATTAACAGGATTTTTTGGCACAATTATAGTTCAAATGTCTCTATGTACGTATGTACTTTTGGTTGGCTACCCAGAGAAAAATGATAATACAGAAAATAACACCTGCCGGTTTGTAAGACACAGGAATATGTACCACAGTAAACTATTTAAAAAATAATGAGTCATTAATGCAGCTAGAGGAATAGCCTAAAATATAAATAGAGAAGGATCACAGACTAGCCATAATAACCTAAAAGGGAGAGAATTTGTTTTCTTTGTATTTGCAGTTTATATCACTTCAGTGCAACCAAACCACCTCAAGTTAATCCTGTAAAAAAATTACACATGAAACCTTAAATATAAAGAGAATATGCCATCTGATTGAAATTCGAATGCTGATGCACTTGTATGTCCAAAATTGTACCATCCTACATTGGACACATACACAACATCAATACAGCCAGAAAAATACAGTCATATAAATCACCTTCTATGCTCAAAATCTTTATAGTAGTTCTTTAAATCTCATTAGAGATGCAATTCAGTCGACCAAACACAATTTAAGCCAGTTCTGGCCAATAAACTCTGGCTTTTGATAGAGGAATTCATATTACACCAGATCCAGGTCCAAACTAGTAAATCAGATAAGTTTTTTGAAACACCAAGTCACAGCTTGACACATTTATAAGAAAGGATTTCCTAAGATGTTTCCCGTCCTGAAGCTGCTCCATTATAAATTTATAAGAGCACTTATCAAGTTTAACTATAAAGTTTTTCATAAGTCATCCAAAAAAATGTTGATGTTAATTGATCTGGAATTCATGAAAACTACTATATACCAGAGAACCTGTGTTTATACCAAGTGGGATATTCAGATCTTGGGGTGTTAATATCACTATAAAGAGCCTTGAAAATCCCCTGTTAAAGACTAGATTTAGTTAAAACAAGCAATTAGAATCTTAGCTTTCAGCTGAAGCGACAGCTAAATACCCCTTAATCACTTGCATTCATGCATTAGCCTGCTTCATGGGCTTAAAACTCCACTTTCCCAACCTTTCACACGCACTCTTCTTGATGACTCTTAAGTTTACGAACTTAGAACTCTTTCAAATGAAGAACTCACTTATATTTCTTCAATTTTCTCTCTTCATATCAAACAAGGATTACAATAGCCCTTTATATAGGCTTCAAAAACAAAAACGTCTAGGCATACCAATAGTCACAAATTAAACTCCTATTTTAATGCCATAAAGATAAATGTCATAAATGAGTAAGTTACTCTTATTCTTTCATAACCTATGTCTCTTCACCTTCTAAACTTATGACCCTTACACTTCTAAAACTCATTTATTCTAGCATTTTAATTTGATATTCCAACACGCCCCTTCAAATCAAAATGTCTTTAAGCCAAGCATGTCTCTTAGCCTCGTGAAAGTTTCACCTGATAATGGCTTGGTGAATATGTCTACCACTTGTTCAGTGGTGTGACAATGCTTCAGTTCAACGATTTTCTGCTTTACATGGTCTCTGAGAAAATGAAACTGTGTATCTATGTGTTTGCTCCTCCCATGATGTACTGGGTTCTTTGCAAGCTGGATGGCTGATTTGTTGTCCACAAAAATTATGGTCGAGTCTTCTTGTGGATGATCCAACTCATTTAATATGTTTCGCAACCAAATTGCTTCACATACTGTAGATGCAGCCGCCACATACTCTGCTTCACATGAAGATAAAGCTACAACTCCTTGCTTCTTTGAGGTCCATGAAAATGCAGTTGACCCAAGATAGAAAACATAGCCTGTGGTGCTTTTTCTCTCATCTTGATCACCTCCCCAGTCACTATCTGAGTAACCAACTAGTTGTGCATTTTCATCATATGCATAGAAGAGACCCAGGTTGAGTGTGCCTTTGATATACCTTAATATCCTCTTCGCAGCTAGCCAGTGAGATTCATTCGGTGTCTCCATATAGCGACTCACAAGTCCGACTCCATAAGTAAAATCAGGCCTTGTGATCGTCAAGTATCTCAGGCTGCCAACTAGACTTTTGAAAAGAGTTGAATCCACGAAACATCCGTCTCCTTCTCTTGATAGCTTCATTCCGATGGCTACTGGGGTGTTTACAGGGTTGCATTCATTCATCTTGAACTTCTCTAAGATCTCCTTCATGTACTTCTTCTGGGATATAAAAATCCCCTCTTGATGCTGCTTCACTTCAATGCCAAGAAAATAGGACATTAATCCATTGTCTGTCATCTCAAATTTATTGAACATTGCCGCCTTGAATTCAGCAAGCATCTCGGTACTACTTCCTGTGTATAATAAATCATCAACATAAAGACAAATTATTAGAAATTCGCCTCTATGGTTCCTCTTCATGTAGATGGCGTGTTCATAGGGACATTTAATGAAGCCGTTTTGATGAAGATAGCCATCAATTCGGGCGTTCCACGCCCGTGGTGCCTGCTTTAAGCCATACAAGGCTTTCTTCAAATGGTACACTTTGTCTTCTTGCCCTTTCACAAGAAAGCCTTCTGGTTGTTGCACGTACACCTCTTCCTCAAGAACGCCATTGAGGAATGCTGACTTGACATCCAAATGATATATATTCCACCTGTGATGAGCTGAAAGTGAAATTAATAGTCTCATCGTATCTAGTCGAGCAACCGGAGCAAAGACTTCTTCATAGTCGATGCCGTACTTTTGTTTGTAACCTTTCGCTACAAGCCTCGCCTTGTACCGATCAACTTCACCATTTGCTGTGCGCTTGATCTTGTACACCCACTTGACCCCTATTGCCTTGTGATTTTGTGGAAGAGTTGTCAACTCCCAAGTGTCATTCTTTTGGATGGCGTGGATCTCCTCCTCCATTGCTGTTCGCCAACTATCTTCTTTTACGGCTTCTTGAAAAGTGAGAGGTTCATTATCAACATATAAGCAGAAAAGATTTGACTCTTCGTCTTCTTCTATCTGCTCATAGATCTCCCTGAGGCTTCTCATTTTGATGGGACCTCGTTGCATGGTAGATTCGCTGCTACTACCTTCCCCAGAAGATGGAGAACCTCTTGCAGGAGAGGGTGTAGAGTGTGGAGGAGATGGTGGTGTAGCTAGTGATGGTTCCTCATGTAGAGACTCATCAGGTTCATTCTCCACGGGTTGATCTTAGGTAGTCTCTTCATTGCTCCAGTTCCATGCTTCTTCTTCATTAAAGACAACGTCTCTACTAACAACTAGTTTCTTGGTTAGTGGATTGTAGAGCTTGTATGCCTTCGACTCCTCGCTATATCCGATGAAAATGCATTTTTCGCCGCGATTGTCAAGCTTCTTCCTTTTGACTTTAGGTACTTGAGCATATGCAACACAACAAAAAATTCGTAGGTGTGCCACACTAGGCGTGTAACCGCTCCATACCTCTTGAGGTGTCTTGTTCTTCACTATCTTTGTGGGGCATCAGTTGAGCAAATAAGCTGAGCATGCCACGGCTTCTGCCCAGAACTGCTTTGGCAATCCCTTTTCTTTGAGCATGGTTCTTGTCATGTCGAGGATGGTCCGGTTCTTTCTTTCTACAATGCCATTTTGCTGTAGTGTGTAGGCAGTAGTAAACTGTCTCTTTATACCTTGATCCCTGCAATATTCTTGAAACAGATTTGAGGTGTACTCACCACCTCAGTCAGATCGAAGAATTTTTAGCTTGTGACCGCTCTCTGCTTCAACTAAAGCTTTAAATGCTTGAATGTAGTAAAGGCAGCAGATTTTTCTTTAAGAGTGTACACCCACAACTTTCTACTGAAGTCATCAATGAAAGTTATAAAATATCTATTACCTCCCAAAGAGACGGGATCGATCGGTCCGCAGATGTCGGTGTGAACAAGTTGCAATGGTACACTTGCTCTCCATGATTTTCCACTGGGAAAAGGAAGTCGCAGTTGCTTGCCGATTAAACAACCTTCACAAATATGATTCGGTGGATCAATTGTTGGTAGACCTCGTACCATGCCAGCTGTAGACAACAACTTCAAACCGCTGAAGTTTAGATGGCCAAAGCGAAGATGCCACCTCCATGACTCATTCTCCATGAGTCCTTGAAAACACTTGTCGACTTTCGTGTTTAGATGCAAGGGAAACATGCGGTTCCTTGTCATCTTAACACAAGCTATGAGGCATCCATTTGTATTTTTCAACCAAAGATGGTTGTTCTCCATATATACTTTGTATCCCTTTCTGAGTAATTGACCGATGCTAAGAATATTACTTTTCATGTTAGGAATATAGTAAACATCGGAAATATACTCGGGCTTACCATCCTTTTGGTAGATCTTAATCTTCCCTTTGCCTTCAACCGGGAGTTTTGAAGAATCTCCGAGGCTCACACTTCCATGAACTCCTTCTGCGAGTTCCATGAAAAGTTCTTTCTTCCCGCACATGTGGTTGCTAGCACCCGAGTCAAGGTACCAAGCATCATTCTCAACACTTGAATCATCATTAGCAAGAAGAAGCGTAGAGTTGTTACCCACATCATTTGTTGCTTCGGCAAGATTGGTTTGGTCTTCAGTTTTGTGCCAACAATTTGAAGCATAGTGCCCAAACTTGTGACAGTTATAGCACTGAACATTCTTGTTGCTTCCACGCCCAGGTGTGGATCTTCCACGATTGCTTCGTCCTCGTCCTCTAAAGCTTTGGATCTCCACTTGATTTTGAGTGGTTTGCTATTGGGGACCACGTCCTCTGCCTCTACCACGACCACGACCACGACCTCTTCCTTGTGAGCCTTGATTACTTAGAGTCAATGTTGACTCTAGTACTTGCTCCAAAACTATGGAACTAGCCTTCTTTTGCATTCGTTGTTCATAAACTTGGAGAGATCCCAAGAGCTCCTCTATTAAGATATCCTCCAAATTCTTTGACTCCTTAATTACCGCCACCACGTGCTCGAATTTTGATGTGAGGGATCAGAGAAACTTCTCCATCACTCGGATGTCCTCCATCTTCTCTCCATTTCTCCTTATTTTATTCACAATTAGAAGTAATCGTGAATAATAATCGGAGATTTGTTCTTCATCTTTCATTTGAGCGGCTTCAAGATCGCCCCTCAAAGTTTGGAGACAAATTCGCTTCACCCGCTCGACACCTTTGTAGATGGTCGCAAGGATTTCCCATGCTTCCTTGCTTGTCGTTGCTTCGGCAACTCTCTCAAAGGTAGACTCGTCCAACCCTTGATAGAGTAGAAAACGAGCCTTGCTATCCTTCTTTCTTTGTTCTCTGAGAGCCTTCTTCTCTTCGGCGGTATAGGTGGCTTCTACTTCTGGCGTAGGTTCCATGAACCCATCAATGATCAGCTCCCACAACTCTTGAGAACCAAATAAGGCTCTTATTTGGATTGACCAACTCTTATAGTTATCTTTCAATAATTTGGGCACTTGAGGATTGACAAGATTATTTGTGGTAGCCATGAGAAGAAGAGAGAATGGGAAAATTGGATCAAGTGGCTTTGATACCACTGATGACTCTTAAGTTTACGAACTTAGAACTCTTTCAAATGAAGAACTCACTTATATTTCTTCAAATTTCTCTCTTCATATCAAACAATGATTACAATAGCCCTTTATATAGGCTTCAAAAACAAAAACGTCTAGGCATACCAATAGTCACAAATTAAACTCCTATTTTAATGCCATAAAGATAAATGTCATAAATGAGTAAGTTACACTTATTCTTCCATAACCTATGTCTCTTCACCTTCTAAACTTATGACCATTGCACTTCTAAAACTCATTTATTCTAGCATTTTAATTTGATATTCCAACACTTCTCTCACCAAACTCGAATCTAATTAAAATAACTTTCATTTTATAAAAGTGTATTATTCAGTTTGCACGTTTATTACCTCTCTCTAACCTTAGGTGTAGCTGACAATGGACAGGAAATAGTCTTAGTACAACAGTAGTTCTAGCAAGCATTTAAGCCGTTTTGTTATTAATTATTCACTAAGTTCAGCAACAAACTTAGTTCCTTTCATTTGTCAATTTTTTTAATTTTTTATATTTGTATTCTGCTCTTGATTCTTGTATTAATCTTTATTGTTATCTTCGCTCTATAAAATTGTAAAATGATTGCTTCTCTTTGTAATAGGTTTGAGCGACTATTACTTAGAACTACTAATTTTTTTTAGTTTATGAAGAAAAATCATGTCAAATTTTGACCACTTGAGTGTTTGTTTTGTAATGACGTGTTTATGTCTTGCAAATTACATGTTTTAATAGTTAAATATAACTTTTAGGGTTTCTTGCTTAGAAACCCTAAATTTGACTTTGATTTATCAAAAAACCCACTTACTTCTATCTGCACCCTTAAACCCAAATTCCTGAAGTTTTATTGTCACAAAACCCATTTGAAGAATACAGTAATTTTATAATTTCTATTTGTACAAAAAATAAGCAATTCCTAAAAAGTCCTTGTATGAATCTCGTTAAAACCTAAAAATCACTATAATCCCTATTGTTCTCGATTCCAAATACGAACCCTAGAAATTGATTGGCTCCTCCTCCGCCTTCGCTTTCGCTTCAGAGGTCGCTCTGCTCCATGTCCGCCTCATCTCGACACATTGTAACTCGCCAGCAACCTCATCATCCTATTGAGGGTCATCGCAGCCTTAGCGATGATCGCAAAGATGTGCAACTCAATGGTGGATTTTAGGGTGGAAGGACGAATAGGGGTGGGTGTGGGATGGGCCGCCAGCCAGGTTCAAGGTCGGGCTGGGTCTAACCCAGGCCCACACAGGTTAGAGTGGGCTGGCTTCTTCTCTGATCCCGGGTCTGGGACTGGACCAAGCCCGGCACACGACCCGCCCAGAAGCGGGTCGGGCCCATAGCCCATGGGTCATGAGTCGACCCATGGGTTTTTTCGACCTTTTTCTATTTTTATCATTTCTAAACTATATTAGCTTTGTATTCATATTTGTTAAATTATATTTAATTTATTTTTCTATTTCAAATTCTTTATTAAAATTATATATCTGTGTGTGTATATATAAACATCACATAGAGAAATATTGCAAATACAAAGATATACGCAATTTAGACTTGGAAGGAATACCCAATTGCCTAAGGCCCAGTTATTTCTTGCTAAACACAATAAATATTTGTAATTAAACTCTTTATTTAATCACATATAATTGCTTATAACTAGTAAATTATTGTAATGACAAGTTTCTTTTGTACAGTAATGACCAACTTTTAAGCTAACTTTTGTCATTAATTTGTAGAATAGTCTTCTTAGACCTTATGTCAACGTAATATACTTGTCTTCAAGATGCTTCAATATATTTATCCATTATTACCTATAAATCCATCAAAAAAAATTTAGATTTTCTTAATTTTTACCTTTTTATTATACTTTTGCCTTTAATTAAATTCAATTTAAAATTTGTCATTGATGCTTTTTGCTACTAAAGGCCCATTTTAAGCCTAAGATACCACTTGCTTTCCTCTATATTTTTCTTACGTCAATATGCGTTCGCATATCAGGAAAATTTTCTACTCATATACCATGTGTGGGGCAGGAGGGAGGGAGGGAGGGGGGGAGAGAGAGAGAGAGAGAGAGAGAGGGAGAGAGAGAGATGCGTCCGTGTGTGTCTATTATATAGATAGAGGATGTATCTTCTGTTTGCGTCTATCTCTATGTAGAGACAGATAGAAAATGTATGTCTGATAGAGGATGTATTTGTGTGCATCTATCTCTATGTAGAGACAGATAGAAAATGTACATATGCATGTGTTAGCTTAGCACTGAAACACTTCCGCCTCATGTTAAATGCCAGACCTTGAGAAGTCACATAATTATGAACTTATATTGGGCTAATTTTCCAAAACAAAACACACTCTTCATATCTAGTGCACATACAGTTTCGATCCTATGTAGCGAAACAACTTCATTAACCTACACACCACAAATAAAAGCACTCTAAGTGCTAAGAGCAAATTCAAAATTTGTCTTCCACTCATTAGGGGGTTCTCCATTACAAAAGTAGCTGAAATTGCTGTCCATATCTGCAGGTATCATATACTGCACACTGTTGATCATTATCACGCATCAAAAGAACTAATAGTATCTATCTTTTGTTCAAGACTTTGAAGCCTAAGGACAGTGAACAAAGCTACAAACAGCAGAAATCAGGTAAATTTGTGTACCTGCGCTCCCTATTAAATCCACAACATGCAGCATTATAGAAAGCTACGGCCAGTAACCATGAATCACTATGGACGGAAACAAGAGAAATCCATTCGTCTGGATCCATCCCGTCCCTAGCAAAGTTTATGCCCAAACACGGTTCAGTAAGATCAGTTGGGAGTTCCTCAGAAGGCAAGCTCAGTTCCCATCTCTCATCAGGATACCCATAAAGACACAAATTTGCTTCTTCTGCAAACATAATCATATAAAAATTAGGTACACAATTAAAAATGCGAAAAGTAATAATTGCTGCATTAAAAACAGAAAACATAACTACTCAGGTCATGGCTTCTACTAACATAATATATTGATTCAAAAGGATATATTGATTTCATGTTCATAATACATTCATTGGCTTACACTAACATAATATATAATTATATTAATTGTACAGTTATACAATGCTTGTACATTAATATATTGATTTCATGTTCCTGACCTATAATACAATTATACAATGCTTATACATTAGGTTGTTTCATCATTAGAAAATTTCTAGTGAAATTCAAGTAATATTCTTATAATGAAGCAGAAGTGTTGAGCGCGGGCATGAAAAATATGATCTGCCTCCAAAATGGAAAAAGGGCTGTCGTGAACATGAACTCCATATATTATCTTTTGAAGATGAAGTACAATTGTGTAAAACTGAGATGGCTTATACTAACATGCATAACACAGTATGGATTTTATAATAAAAAAAATTTATGCCCCAAAGCAGTTTGGACTCAGGGGACAAGACCGGAATTTTATAACAAAAACCCCAGTTAAGTTATTGCTTGACATATGCATATATTGAAGGTCATACAATCTAATGATGAAATAATTGAATTCCAAGCTACCTACCTACAAAGGAGCGATGAACCAAAACTTGAAGTATGCATGTGAAAAACAAACAAATTACCAGTTTATCAGAACAGAAACAAAATTTACAAATGCTTGAAGTTAAGCATAGTCATAAACTCATAGAAATACTCCAATTTCAAGCTAGAACTGCGTAACTATAACATCAAACACTCAGATGACATATGATTACCTATAACATAACTGTTTCATAATAGTGTGCATTTCCTTTTCATTATTTTGAGAAAAAAAAAATTGACTGTAAAGAAGGTTTCAGCATCTTTCCTTCAGAAAGACATCAGTAGTTTGCAAAAATTGTAACAGAAGCAGCATTCTTCTGTAATTTACCAGAAACGAAGTTCCAACATGCAAAAATCCTTCAATTAATACAAATGAAAAAACAAAATTTGTCCCCTGCTGGTAATGTATCAAGAAGCTGGTCCAGCTTATTTGCTGATAATAGGAAACCAGGTAGGGGTTTGGATTTGTCCTATGTTCCCCCTGGGTCAAAGGACACTGTGATGTTTGAAAATGATGAGTGGAATGAAGGTATATCATCTTAACAATTCTCTCTTATTGGTCAGGTACTGGGACTTACAGTTAAATTTAAGGCTATGGAGACTTTCGTGCAGAAAACTTGGTCTCATTTAAATGCTCCTGAAGTCTGCCTTTTAAAAGCTGGTATCTTCTTGTTTAAATTTAAGAGCAAAGATGAAATGTGTGAAATTCTTGAAAGTGGACCATGGTTTTTTGGGTCTAGGCCTTTTCTATTAAAACCTTGGTCTATTGATGAGGATATTGATAAGATAAAGGATTGTATATATCCTATGTGGATCCAATTGCCAGGTTTAAGATTGAATTTGTGGAATGCTAATGCAATTAGTAAAATTGTAAGTGTTGTGGGTAGACCTATTACTACTGACAAACTTACTGCAAATAAACAAAGGTTAGCTTATGCAAGGGTGCTTGTTGAAGTAACCTTGCCTTCTTCCCTCCCTGACCAAATCTCTATACAGGGGCCAAGTGGTAAACAATTTTCCCAAAAAGTGATTTATGAATTGAAGCCTAAATGGTGTGAATTTTGTAACCAAGTGGGACATGAATCCAGTTACTGTAAGAGAAAATCTAGGACTCAAAGATGGGTTCCTAAGACTGCTGTACCAGTAAATCTGAATCAGAAGGTTGTTGTGCAGAATACAGCTTCTGGGGGTGATGGAAATAAGTTTTCTAAAATTTCTAGTTTTGCTGGCCACAATAAGGTACCTATTTTTGAGAATGTGGGTATCAGTAGTGGTAATCTATCTCAGGAGCCTGTGCAGCATATTATACATATTCAAGAATCTGATCCTGAGATAAATCCTTCAAAAGGCAAAGAAAAAATACTGGATGAAACTGGAAATAGCAAGGACAATGCAGAGCTCAGGACTGTGCATGTTGTGCACGTTTCTGGTTCTAGTGTAGATCATGTAAGTTCTGACATTGCCAAAAATCCCTAGTCTTTTGTTCAAGGAAATGGCTCTAAAAAGGCAGTTTCTCATGCAAATTCTTTCTCTCCTGCGCAACATTGAATTTGACCCCTCTACAATAGATAGAGGAGGATTTGCCAAATGAACTTATCCTTTTGGAATATAAGAGGATTAAACAAATCCTCTAAGCAACGTTTGGTTAAACATCATTTGTTGCAATATCATCTTTCGTTTCTTGCTCTTCTTGAAACTAAAGTCAAGGATACAAATTTGTCTATTACTGCAAAGAAAATTGAGAAAAACTGGCAGTGGCTATCTAATGTGGGTAATTCAGGAAAAGCTAGGATCCTTGTTATGTGGGATCCCTGTATTTTGGATGTTCAAGCTGTTAAAATTTCAGAACAGCATAGCACTTTCTCAGTAAAATCTGTTGATGGTAAATTTGAATGTTTCATCTCATCTATATATGATTTCAATTATTTGGAGGCTAGAAAAGATTTGTGGCTTGATCTCTTCCATCTTCACCAAAATTTGGGGAATTCTCCTTGGCTACTGTGTGGATATTTTAACACAATGATTAGCAATGAAGAAAAGCTAGGTGGGGTTACTTTAACTACAGTTGATACAAGTGATTTTAACTCCTTCATTGAAAATTGTCAACTCAGTCATCTGAAAACTCTGGGTTGCTTCTATACTTGGAGCAATAAACAGGAATCTGGTTCAAGAATTTGGTGTAGACTTGACAGGGCTCTGGTAAATGGCTCGTGGATCAATTTGTATAATTCTAGCCATGTTGAATATTAGCAGCCAGGTTTATCTGACCATTCTCCTGCTTTTGTTTCAATCTATGATGATTGTGTTCAAGGGAAAAAGCCTTTTAAGTTTTTTAAAATGTGGACAAAGCACCCTAGCTTCATTCCTATAGTTTCAAAAACTTGGCAGACTATTGTTGAAGGATACAAAATGTATTCAGTCAGCACTAAGCTCAAGTTGCTTAAGGGAAATCTGAAGGAGTTAAATAAGAAGCATTTTTACAATATCACTGAACAAGTCCAAAGAGCCAGAGTAGCACTAGAAGAAGTTCAGAGGAACCTCCATGCTGATCCTTTCAATTCTTCACTCATAAATCAGGAAAAGGATTTTTTATCATCTTATAAGAGATTATTAGACTGTGAACTATCATTTTATCAACAAAAGGCTAGAATAGCCTGGAGTTTACAAGGTGATAGGGGTACCAGTTTTTTTCATGCAATCACAAAAAGCAACAAGCACAACAATAGAGTGATGGTTCTGTATAATGCCAATGGAGATAGAATCACTGATGGTGAAGGGATTGTAAATGAATTTGTCTCTTTTTATAGGAAGCTTATGGGGTCTGTTGTTGTTACTATTCCCCTTGATATGGATATCATAAACTCTGGTCCTATTCTGAATGCAGCTCAAGCCAGGGAATTATCTAGGCCAGTTACTAGGGATGAAATCAAAATAGCCATTTTCTCTATGGCTGAAAATAAAGCTCCAGGTCCGGATGGGTACAATGTTACTTTTTTTAAATCTGCATGGGCTATTATTGGAGAGGAGGTCACTGTGGCTATTGAGGAGTTCTTCAGTTCTGAAAAACTGCTGGGTATGGTAAATTCCACCTCTATTACACTTATTCCTAAGGTACATTGTCCTAAAACTCCTTCAGATTATAGGCCTATCTCATGTTGTAATTGTCTTTACAAGTTTATCTCAAAAATTATCACCAATAGAATCAAGACTGTTATGGGGTATATTGTAAATGATGCTCAAAGTGCATTTGTAAGGGGTAGACAGATCTCTAGCAATATCAAATTGGCTCATGAACTGGTGAATAGCTACAACAGGAAGCATCTCTCTCCAAGGGTCATGCTTAATGTTGACATTAGAAAGGCCTTTGACACCATCAGCTGGTCTTTTCTGTCTGATCTCCTTCATGGTTTGGGATTTCCACAGGTCATGATTGGTTGGATATTGGTTTGTATTTCTTCTCCAAGTTATTCTTTATCTCTTAATGGTTCTCTTCATGGCTATTTCAAAGGCAAATGTGGCTTAAGACAAGGAGACCCCCTTTCTCCTTATCTGTTTATTCTAGGAATGGAGTATCTTTCAAGGAAGTTGGGGGTGTTAAAGAATGACAGACTCTTTAAGTTTCATCCCAAGTGCAGTCAGCTTAATATTACTCACCTAATATTCGCAGATGATCTCCTCCTATTTGCAAAGGGTGATGTATATTCAGTGCATAAATTGTTTCAATGTGTTAAAGAGTTCAGTGTTGTATCTAGACTTGAGGCAAATCCAGAAAATGCTCTGTTTTCTTTGGTGGTATAGATGAATCAGTCAAATCTTCCATTAACAGCTACTTGGGATTCCCTGAAGGTGTTTTGCCATTCAAGTATCTAGGAGTTCCTCTCACAACTAAGAAATTGTCTCACATGGACTGTAATTCCCTCCTCTCAAAGATCTCAGGGCAATTTCAGAAATGGTTGAATCATGGGTATTTGGCCTATGCAGGTAGATTGCAAATAATAAAGAGTGTAATCATTGGTGTTCAAATATTCTGGACATCAAATTATATTCTTCCAGCCAGTGTTCTCAAGGAAATGGATGGGTTATGCAGGAGCTTCTTGTGGGGAAAATCAGGTCAAATTCTCAGAATTCCTCTGGTTGCATGGGAGAGAGTTTGCATTGGGAGAAAGAAAGGAGGTCTGGGGATTTTTTCAGCTCTTAGTTGGAATACAGCTTCAGCACTGAAATGCATTTGGGATATTCATATCAAAAAGGAGTCTCTGTGGATTAAATGGATTCATGGTGTCTATTTAAAGCATGAGGATATCTGGCAGGTCAAAGCAAGATCTGGTG